TTCTAAGGAGTTTGGTTACATCTTGCTTACAATTGGTTTCACAATATGTTGATGAGCTGGCAGTCAATATATTAACAGCACTCATGTGTCTTCTTTGTGTTGCAGTAAGTGTGATTTGTTGTAAACAGTGGTTATAGCTGCTTCCAAGCCCTAATTGTGTACAAATCACTAAAGACATACAGTTGAAATCAAAATTATTCACCTCCCATTGCAAATTAGGTTTATTAACAAAATTTACAAACTTTCAGCTGTTTGCATTAAACCAATCAAACAAGAACAATTTAAAAAGCTCAACACAACCAACAGCAAGTGGTTTCTCCACATTCAACACAAAATGCTACTTTTAATGACCACTGCAGTCTCAGAATTATTCAAACTCCTGAATTGAATTCTTCATAAAAGCACACATTTACAAATCAGGTGTTGTCTCAAGGGCTTCATTAGTTACATCAGGTGTGCTTGAGATAAAACACATCAAATATCTGGATGGGCCAGGGGGTTTTGTTGACTGAAAAGTTTGACTGCATATTAGAAATATGGCTAAGTCAAGAGCTTTATCCAGTAAGTTTAGAGAAGAGATTGTTGTCTTGCACAATCCAGGAAAAGGATGGAAAAAGATAACAAAGGCACTTGAATGTTCCTAGAGATACAGTTGGAAGCATAGTTTGCAAGTTCAAAGTTAAAGGAACACTGGCTACACTACCTGGACATTCCTGAGGAGGCAGGTGGTCAAAAACCTCGAGTGACTGCAAAAGACCTACAGCAAGATTTGGTGGCAGCAGGCACTGAGGTTTAAGATTGCACAGTAAGGCACATGCTACACGCTAAAGGTCTCCATGCCCAATCTTTACTTCCACTGACCCAAAAGCACAAGTGAAGTCGGCTTGGGTATCCTAAAATCACATAAATAAGCCACAGAGGTTATGGGATTCTGTTCTGTGCAGTGCTGAAACAAAACCAGAACTTTTCAGGCCTATGGACCAGCGGTATATCTTGAAGCACATGTTGAAAAGAACACCCTGTCTACAGTGAAGCATTGCGGTGGCTCAGTGATGCTCTGGGGCTGCTTTGCGTCCTCTGGCACTGGAAACCTTCAGCGTGTAGACAGCAAGATGGATTAAATAAAGTATCAGGAAATCCTAGGAGAAAACATCCTGCCTTCTGTGAGGAAGTTAAAGCTTAGGCGTCGTTGGATCTTCCAGCAGACAACCAGTCCACCAAGGCTTGGTTTCAGAAGAAGTCCTGGAAGATTCTGGAGTGGCTGTCACAGTTGCCTGACTTGAACCCTATAGAAAATCTTTAGTGGGATACGAGGAAGGTGGTTGCAGCATGACAAACACTAGAATATTAGTGAAATGGAGATGATTGCCCATGAGGAACCGGCTAAGATCCCTCAGGAATGCTGCCAGAATCTGGTGTCTGGCTATGCATTACATCTGCAGCAGGTCATGACAGCAAAAGGGTGCTCTACTAAACACTAAAGATGATTATCATAAAAGAGTTGAATAATTCTGAGACTGCAGTAGTCATTAAAAGTGGCATTTTGTTTGCATTTGAGAAAACTACTTGTTACATTAGATGTGTTGAGCTATTTAAGTTGCTCTTGTTTGGTTTATTGCAAACAGCTGAACGTTTGTAAATTTTGCTAATAAACCTAATTTGATATGGGGGTTGAATAATTTTGATTCCAACTTACATTCTCTAGAAAACATACTGAAAACCAATATAAGTTGACCATTGCCTCTGTTCTAACAAATCATTAGAACATGTATCACAACCATTTTAACTACAAAAGGAGCTAGACAAGGATGCTCTATGTCTCCATTATTGTTTGCATTTTTTACTAACCTGGCTGCTTCCACTACAGAGTGCAAAAAAGTCTCACGTATCCAGTCAAATTCATACCACCATAACATTAGCTTACATGCCCATGAACATTTAGAATACATCACCCATCCTTCATTGTCCCTTCCATCAGTTCACGATCTGATCAGTAGCTCTAGTAAGGTATCTGGCTATTCCATTGACTGGCCAAAATATGAGTTTCTGCCCCAAATTAAATTTATTGAATATTGTGATATTCACATCTCACAAACCTAAATGATTTATACAATGTCCTTCTACTACAAAAAATAAAAGCAACACAAAAAAAATAAAACTACCTTTTTCTTGGATATCTAATATCAAAGGGAATACTGTCCATTAAATCAATACAGTTGTCAATTATTAAAATTAATTATCTGTTTTCTATGACCCCTGTCACCCCTTTGACTAGTTCTCCTTTCTCAACTCTGCAGTCATAAAGTTCTAGAGGAAACACCAAAGCGGAAAAATTTTGGAGCTTTGAATTTTTACTACTGTTTGTTTTCACACCAGCTTCTTTACATCAACACTGGACAAGCTACTCAAACCAGAAACAGTTAGACAGATCAAAAACTGGACATTAATCAGATTCATTTCAAAGACAAAACTATAAAAACACAACGTTGTTTTAGATACAATACAGTAAGTACCACCCTAACTGGTTTGGTGGAAATGAAATACTCAATCACAGTCTTTCTCTGTCTGATCACACCCTTTAGGGAACAGTCATATGTTGCATCTTAGGCCTCTTTTCCACTGCACGGCCAAACAGTTCTGAGCACGGAGGGTAACTGTTCCAGTGGTGTTTCCACATGAACATGGTTCAACACGGAATGGTTATAAACCAGGCTCAGCCCAGTTTATCGGCATGGTTATCTAACCATACGTGGGGCCACAGAACCGTTCAGTGGGATGACGTAATGACATAGCTATTTGCTGATTGGTTCTATTTTTACGTCAGTATTGTGCCACTGCATCCTGCTGCTTTTTTCAAACTTGAAACCAATCAAATAAATTCAATTCACTCATACAGAGGGCAAATAAATGAAAGCAGTGCATGATTTTAAACCCACCGTTCAATAAACGTCAAAGCTTCCATCTAACATCAATTTTTTAAATATTAAACTGTGCTGAGAACTGGTGAGCAATAGCTTAGCTAGCATGCTGCCAGCTCTGCTCACTACAGAACAGGTTAGATTCTGACTAGCAAAAGCTTTACTGACACAAATGTAGAAGATAATGACTCAGCTGTGAGGAAGAAAAGTTGAGCGGACAGAAAGCCGTAATTAAACCTGTTCGCTGGTGTCTGGACCTGGAGCCTCCTTGCTAAGCTAATGCTAGCCAGCTCCTCTGTCCTAGCTAACTACACCACAGTGCAGGTTTGATTCGACTGACTGCACTGCTGTCACAAGTATAGATGATACAACTTATAACAGTGAGAGCAAAGTAGACTGATTGATGGTGGAGTGACAGAAAGCCGAAATTGAACCTGTTCTGTAGTGCTTTAGGATTTAGCCTGCTAGACTAAGCTAAAACAAGTGCACGGTGCCTCCTACAGCAGTATAGGCTTAGTTTTAGCGAACTGATGATTAAAAAACACCCATTTAGAGGATAAAGACTCATTTCTGAGAGTAGATATTCAAATTACTGGTGTTGAAGTGACAAAAAAATAAAAAATAGAATTGTTCTGTAGTGCTTTGAGCTGTACCCTGCCAGGTGATGTTAATGCTAATCTAGCTAGTTATCCAGCTACAGGTGAAACTCACTGCAGTATAGGCTGTTTCAGTAACAAATGCTCAAATAACACCCATTTAGAGGTTAAGAATCTGAGAGCACACCGGGAGACTGGAGGTGGAGTGACAGATGGAATTAAACGTGTTTTGTGGTGGGTGGTGTGTGAATGGCCGCTAGCAGTTAGACACTCTTTGTGTTGTTTCTTGGGTATTTCCTGGTTTTGATTTAATGGTACAACAAATGGAAAATGAAAGTATAACCAGTCTCACGAGTCCGGACCAGTGCGGAATGGCCCACTACAGCCCTGAGAACCATTTGGCACGATAGTGGAAAAGCAGCCTTAGAGTCAGGGAGGAGTAGTCAGCCTGGGACAGTTATTCATATATTAATTAAATACAAGTCCAGAATAATCCTTGATGCCTTGAATACATTCAGAAAACATTATATTATATTTCAGTAGTTTATACCAGCCTGTATATGTTGCAGGACTGTCACAGTCTCAGTAGTTTCTGCACAAAGGACACGTCTGTGATGTCAGAGGACACGTCTGTGATGTCCGGCATTAGGTGCTTTCATCTCATGTTTCCTCTCACTTCGTTTTGAAAGATATGCTGCTGCTTTTAGACTCTTACCACAGAATGAGAATGTGGTTTTATACTTTTGTAATGAACACCTATAACCGTCTAACAGTTTTCAGCCATGCTTCCTAGGAAACTTCTGAAAGAAAAGCTTAACTGAACTAATGATTGAGGCTTGAGTTTGAGACAGAATGCTTACGAATCCTAAATAATGGTCTTTATCCATTTAGAGGTCCTTTCTAGAGCTCTTACATAATGTGGAGGTTCTTTAAAATCTAAAAGTTTCTTAAAATTCATGCATCTCATTTGTAAAAAATGGTTCTACAAATGTCTTAAGAGCACGAACTGGACAAGCATAGCGGAATAAGTTTTTCATAAATATTATTTTTTATGTCGTCTGCTGGTGATATTCAAGAAACTCAGCAAGCTATCGAAATATATGTCTTAGCTAAAGCTAATGCTGCTTACTACAGTGGCTTGTATAAGGAATGGCCTGTTTGGGTGGTTGTTAAAGTGGGACACCAAACGTCTTTGTGAAAGTGAAGGACGACTTTGAGTTACACCACACACATCTGTAGATTGTGGGATAGATTGTGATAATGGAACTCTTTGTATTTGACAACAACGTTCTCATAAAAATCACAGCTTCTTTATTTGATTCTGCTTTTCCCCCTCTATTATTCTACTCGTCACCTCTTTATTTCCCTCTGTATGTGTGTACTTGTTATGTCCATTTATGACACTTATTATTTAGTATTATTTTTATCATAGTTTAAATATTGTTATTAACTCATTAACAATACACACTTCAAAATGGTCTTCATAATGCCGGGCTGTTCGAAAAATGCAGTGCATTTCAGTATGACTGAAGGCCTGTTTGTGGGTGCCATTTATTTTTTTTTAGAATACTTTAATGTCAGTTATGTTGGTTAATTTATTTCTTATTATCTCTATAACATGGTGCATGTTACTGGGTTATTGAAAATGTTTTTAACCAATTTGGGAAAAATAGATTTTTCCAAACCTGTTAACACTAATGCAGTATTTAAAATACCTCTAGCGTGTGCATCTAGTAAATAATGTACCTGCTTAAGAAATGTGAACGTTTGTGTGCTGCTTTGTGTCAATTTGTAAAACATTTCTGAAGCTGTTGTTGGATGCAGTTCAGAAGTTGGTGAACAAGCACAGAAATAAGCTGACAAGCATAACAAAAAGAGAAGCTTGAAGCTAAACTGGAGCTCATCTGAAACACAGAATGTGTCAGTAAAATGAAAATATCCCCCAAAATGTACGTATGCTTATACAGCAGAAAAGAGCTAATGAGTTTAATGGAGGTCAGTTACTGAGAAGTATCTGACTTCAGAGTAAACACTGTGTCCAGAACGTCCACTCTTCATTCTCAGCCTTTTGGCAGCATAAATCCTGTCCTGTAGAGATGGACATAGAAATGTTAAAGGGTAAAGGTTAGAGAACTCTATCTGAAATACAAGAGAGTCAGTTACATCATTACACATCATTTGAAAGAATGAGAGAACACATGTAGTACCTGACTGGTAGGGTTCTCCACCACTGAGCCGTGTTGAAGCCTCACTATGGTTGAAAAAATAAAAAATACAGTGTAATATTTAGATCAGAGAACATTTCCTCTGTGCAAGTCACCATATTTGTCTTGCCATATATGAGTCATTCTACCAAACTGGTTCAAAATCAGAGTTGATAACACATTTTGGACTTTTAACAAACTTACACCTTAGTCTAAAATCCTTTAGCTTCAGTTTTATTATGTATATATATATATATATATATATATACTTACCAGTGCTGTGTTCAGACTTTGTTCTCTTGCAAGTTATAATGACCAGAGCAGAAATCACAACCAAACACACTCCCAAAGCTGCACTTAAAAAGAACACTATAGAATCCACAGACCTCCCTGAAAGATATGAACAAATAAATACACTTTTATTCATCAAAGTCAAGCCAAACTTATCCAATACTAAATGTGACAAATCACATTTTTTTACTATCAGAATTATTTCCTGGAAAACCTAATCTCACTCTTTATTACTTCACTTCTAAGTTACTCTCTAAAGCACATATAAATCTGTACCAAATTAACAAATCAAGCAATGACAACCAAGTCAGTAAATGTAGACCAAAAAACAGATGCTGCTTATTAAAATCTTCACACATAAAATGAAAGGATCATCATTCTGTTTGAGAGGTTGAACAAGGCCATAGTCTATCACCTCTGAAACATTGTGGTGTTTTAAACATGGCAGAAAATCGAGTCAGGCCTGTATAGGTGAGGGCACTCTTCTTCAGAACAGGGTTCTTTAGTCATTTAATGTTAGCATGCAGTCTAATCAGGTGCTTTGATGGACAGATTGCTTATCGAGTTTACAGCATTGGAAAGTTCTTTCAAACTTTACCTCACAATAGTTCTTATTCATCAAAGTTGCATAATAACAGGTTCAGTGCGTGAAATCAAGCACCAGCCTATCAATCCCTCATTTACATGTCATTTACATGAAGCATGACCTAATATATGCGAATGTTTCAGGAGGGAACCAATAAAACGACAGCATTCAGCAGCTCATGAGCCAACGGCCGTGCTCGTAGGTGGAGTTTAAGGTCAAGCAGTGAGTGCACTGCTCCCCCTACTGACCAAACTTTATAGTGTTCAAATTACAATGACTTCAAAGAATAAAATGTGAAATAAACAAAACGGCATAGTGTTTTTTTTTGTTTGTTTTTTTTTGATGGTGAAGCTCATTGTATGATCAGATTTGACCATACACAACTTTGATGAATAAGAGCTAATATTTTAGGTTTACATGCAACTATTTGAAAATAATGAGAATATGCTTTTGCAAACATCCACTTTTGCTTGTGCTCCCTGTACATTAATCACATTGGTGCACTGTCAAATATGTAAAAGAGCAGGCACGAATAATGTATATATGGAATTTATGTTTTAAGTGCATTGTGTGTAATAAATATTAATCACCTGGAAACCAATGTGCAAAGTTATTGTTGGGTCAGAAAGAGACCCAGAATGTAACTGATTCCTTACTTTGGTGCAGGTAAAGGTAATTATGTTACTATAAGTTTTTACCTTTTAACATGTTACCCCCAACAATATTCACCATCGTGTCACCAATAAACTTTAAGCACTAAATTACCACACAAATTAAAGCTTTCCTACATCCTATGTGTGAAGTACAAATATGGCCTAGAACAGTGTGGAATCTAATAAATTTAGTCTATATTGGTGAAGAATGGCTGTTGCTGTTGCATCAATGATCAGTTAGCTTTATCTTCACACTTTTTAAAAGCAATATGCAGTCACATAGGAAATGTACAAAAACATACACAAAGCTCTCAAAATTACTTACTCAGTTCTACTGTTGTTCCGTTCCCAAAAATAATCTCCCCACAAGCAGCCACAGCGCAGTAGTAAGTTCTAGTATGGTGGTGGTCGAGGATGTTCTTGGAGAAGTTGTACACAGAGCAGCTTGTAGAAGAGCTGATCTCACACTGACGGCTGCTGCTGTTCTGATGAGTGTAAATGATTTCAGGAAAGGATTGTCCTGCAGCAGCTCTGAACCAGAGCACTCGGAGTTCTGCTGCTCTGATCTCAGAGAGGACCGTGCACTGCAGAGTGACCAACTCTCCTGGAGAAACTGACCCCCATGCTGGAGTTTGGAGCACTGATATGTTTAACTGAGGATGACCTACATAAAATAATTCAGAAATATCCAATAAACAATAAAGATTTTTTTTTTAAATATTTTTTTAAATTATAAAAGTCTAGAATTATAATCGTCAATTTACTGTAATATTTAAATGTAATTATGCAATTAAATGGTTAATTATTATTTTATTTACTTACATTATGAATTACGTTTGAGTTTACAGTTTACATTCTTTATCAAAAGGTTTGGTTCAAGGCAAATAGCAAATAAATGTTTTCATTCAATAATAAAAACAGATGGATGTTGTTTGGTTTATATTCAGTTGTCTTTAGGTGGTGATTTGAATATGTTTTTTAGAGAAGAAAGGACAGAGAATAATCCCACCAATGAAGTACAAATTGGTGTCAGTTTTTCCACTTTTTTCTTTTTATTTTTATAATCTGAAAAAATTTAAACCTAGTGTTGGTTCTGTCTCAGTCTTGGCCACACCTAGTCTTTGGCTACCACAAATTCTTTGTCTTGACTTTGACTCAGTGTGTTCAGGTCTCGGTCTTAACTCACAATTCAGCTCTAACGGACACGACTACAGTAGTAATCCTTTATCCCTCATGTACCTCTTTTTTTTGTAAATGTTTTTTCCTAACACTTGGGATCCCCTACTTGTAAATTTCCACATATGGGTTGTAAAAAATTCCCCTATGGCAATTTAAGCCACTGCTTTTAAAGCGTAAAAGAGTCTTTTAAATATAACTTTTGACAACAGATGAAGAAACAGATAAAGATGAATATATGGTGATTACCTGTCACAGCTAAGAAAGTTCCTGTGGAAAACTGAATCGCATTCCCATCAGATTTACCACAGAAGTACGTTCCTTCATCGTCTTTAGTAGTATGTTTAAAAGTCAAAGAAATGCTGCTTGGATTTGTCTCCAGTGAGATTCTTGATGGGTCGAACTTAGGAACAATAATAGGTTGTAAATGTCCTATCACTGTTCCCACCAGCTGAAGAGTCTGTCCCAGTTTCTGTTTATACCAAAACACTCGCTCTGAACTCAAGCTTTTACCAAATGTGCAGTGAAGAGTAGCAGCTTCACCAGCTTTAACTGACAAAAATGGCTTCTGATGAAGACCTACAGCTTGACCGGCACCTATAAAATGAAACAAGAAACATAACAGTAAAAAAAAAATAATAATAAAAACTGTCCAGTATTTGCATGTTTTTCTTAAAAATACTAGAAAACGTACCTGTGGTGTAAAGACTGGCAAAGAGAATCCAGACTGGAATTATCTTCATACAAAACATGATTATTAGTTGGATTACCTGAAGCAAAAGAAAGAAAGTGAGAAGGTCTTTTCTGTCTGCGTGAAAGAAGAATATTTGACCATCAGAGGTCCTCCAGTCCTTTTTGACCCAGCTCTGTCATCAATAGTGAAACAGCCAATGAACATCTTTATTTTGGACGTGTCACCTCAGACCTGGGCATAGAAACTTTAATGACATTTGGGGGTCTTTTTAGATAATAGTAGTGATAATTTGCTCCTTTAGGTGGTCCACACTGCTTTTCAGTGTCTCATGAGTAGAAATTCCTATGCATAATGAGCCTAGCATGTAACTTATACATGGACCTGGGAACTGTTGCCAATCATTTGCACATTTTTTATCACAGTTTTAACTTTATTTACAAGTGTTTATGTTGTATGTTCATGTTTTATTTTTAACTTTAGTTTTATCTTATTTATTTATGTATATATGGTTTTTATCATCGATGAGAACAAACTAAAACTAAATTTCACTGCACATGACAAATTACTTGTGCTTTTCATGCTGTAAAAAAGAGATATAAAGCTCTGGAATCTGGAGTGTTACATTCAAGCATGACAGAATTTTGACTTTTTTTTGCCATTTTATAAGCAGTTAAGATGTTTGACACTGCCAAATTTAAACTGTACACACTTAACAATGATGGTTCTTCAAGGGTTCCTTAGTAAAGAAAACCATATAATACAGAACCATGAACACTCACAGAACCCTTTGCATGATTAAAGCATTCTTTGCATCATGAAAGGTTTCTTCAGATTGATGGCGAATGTGCTGTAGATGGCTCTATACAGAACCTTTTTGAAAAGGGTTCTAAACAGCACCAAAGCGTGTTCTTCTATTGTTATGATATCAAGCTTGTCAAAATAGAAGAACCCTTTCCAAAATGTTCAATATAGAACCATCTAAAGCACATTCTCCATCAATCTGAAGAACCATTTCACCATGCAAAGTATTCTTTAATCATGCAAAGGGCTCTTTGAGTGTTCATAGCTCTATATAGAACCTTTTTTTTTTACTAAAGAACCATCATTTTTAAGTGTGTAGTACAAGACCTGTCTATTAATACTTGTATTGTGAAAAAAAAAAAAGGAAGGTATCGACTATTTTAACAGTTAATCCAGCTCTAAATATGCAGACTGTCACAATCTCTCTGTTTTCTGGTTAAAGGGCAGAACTGTGACATCAGACATTATGTGCTTTTATCTCATGTTTCCTCTTTCTCTCTCTTTGGTGCATTTGCTATTAACTGCAGTGTGTTTTTAACCACAGAGTGTTTGACCTTATTTAAGTCCAAATGCACAGTTTACAGATTTAACACTGATAAAGGTCTGGATTGCTGTGATAATTAGTTATTATAAAACATCATCTACTTAGTTTCAACAAGCAAGTATAAAAAGTAGCATGGACAAGTATAATTAATATTAATTTGTCGTTTCATTAGAACCACTGATTTTGACTAGAATTAGAGATGTAAGCAACAGAAATGAAAGCAACTTCCTCTCTTTATTGTCTTTCTTTTAGTTTTTCACTGTAAATGTAAAGCAGCATATTTCAGTTCCTGCATGAACAGATAAGGCTGATAAACTAGTTCTATTACAAAATTTTCCAAATCATGACTTGCATGTTTGTAACATGTTCAGCTACTGTATACCATTGTTAATGACAACTGTAATTACAAATTGCTCAGTCACATCTTTTTGATAAAAAAAAATAATAATACTAAAGATACAACCTTAACAGGAGCTTTCATGTCATCCCATTTTAAATCCATAGGCATTAATATTGATTTGGTCCCTCTTTGCAGCTGTAACAGCTTCCACTCTTCTGGGAAGCTTTCTACAAGATTTTGGAGAGTGTCTGTGGGAATTTTTGCCCATTTATTCAGTAGAGCATTTGTGAGGTCAGACACTGACGTTGGACGAGAGGGCCTGGCTCACAATCTCCGTTCTAGTTTATCCTAAAGGTGTTCGATGGGGTTGAGCTCAGGGCTCTGTGAGGGCAAGTCAAGCTCTGCCACATCACACTCACCCAGCCATGTCTTCATGGACTTGAGCCCATGAGCTTTGTGCACTGGGGCTCAGTCATGCTGGAACAGAAAAGGGTCTTCCCCAAACTGTTCCCACAAAGTTGAAGTATACAATTGTCCAAAATGTCTTGGTCTGCTGAAGCATTAAGATTTCCCTTCACTGGAACTAAGGCTATGTTTACACAGCAGGTAACAGTGGCCCAAATCTGATTTTCTTACCAAATCCATTTTTTTTGGCTGTTCACATTATCTTTTAAATGTGATCTGTATGCATCTGAAAAGAGCAGCTCCTAAACCGACCCGCATGTGCAAAAGAACAGTGCTTCACGTGGCGTGCTCGTCCAGAGGTAAACAATCATGACGGCCAGCAAACACCAGTCGCTCCTGGAGCTTTCAGTTTCGTCTTCGCCAGCACCACAGGAACGATCAAGTTCAGTGGTTGACAGCTGGGCTCCTCACCCAGAATGTGGTCGAGCTCACCATAAAAAAGGGCACGTTATTCGGCTACTTCTTTGGTTTATGTTCTTGGATTCTTTAAACTTTTCTTTGATGCTGCAGCCTCTGTCTCTTTCAGCTGCATTCGGCCATTTCATTTGAAACCTCTTCGAACACGAAGCGTTGTGATGAGTCTCTTCAAATTTTTTGGTACAGAAACATCAGCCTAAATGTTTATGAGGTCTCAGCAGCGCAAACTTATGATGAATGTCGAGTTGGATTGATGTAAAAGTTGCATGAATGAGTCGCATTGCCACAGAACGGACACGTATCAGATTTCAGTACCACATATGACAGCGTCTCAAATCAGAATTGAAAATGTCAGATTCAATGCATTTTTTGCTGTTCACACAGACACACTGTGTCACATATGGAGAAAAAGTTCGGATTTGAGCCACTTTTACCTGCTGTGTGAACAAAGCCTAAGGGGTCTAGGCCAACTCCTGCAAAACAACCCCATAGCTTTATCCCTCCTCCACCAAACTTTACAGTTAGCAAAATGCAGTCAGGCAGGTAACGTTCTCATTGTGATTACTTTTAGCCTTTTTCCAGCAGTTAGTTTCACCACTGAATTACTAAGTTATGCACTGAGAGCAATATAAAAATGTATAGGTTCACTGTTTTTGTGGTGCATGTGAATTTCACTGCTGACTCAGCCATTGTTAGTGTTTATTTATGTACTGCAGGACAGAAGTAATTAGTTACAATTAGCCAAATTTTTCAAGTCCAATTCAAGTCATTGCACATTATAAAAATCATGATCCAAGTCCATGTGTCAGGGCTGGTTGACACCTTTTGTCATGTAATGATTCTAAATAGTTATTGGCTTGATGTATGGTTCTATGAAAAACTTTTAACTGCTATACAGTAAAATCTTTTGATTGTGTGGAGGTTTGTTTAAACATTAAAATTGTCCTTCACTCTAACACATACCAGTTTCAAAAAGAACCATCCACTGAAATGTTCTTTCTAGCCAATCAATCCGGTACTTATGTAGTAATATCAGTAATCTGCATTATGACAATCTACAGAAATTCAAATCCATTGGTGTTTCTTTCTAAATTTAGCCACATTATCTTTCAAAATTCAGAAAAGATGAGCAAAGAGCTTTTCAGCAGATAATAACTTTGAAAGGGCCTTATTCACTGACCCAGAGGTCAAAAAATGTATAGCTTTAGACCTACCCTGGCCAGAAAGCTGGTCTAGCTAGCCCTGTTGATCTTTACCCATTCTCTGAGCAAATCATTGAGTTCACCAATAGTTCCGATGAAAAAGAAAGATGAGTCATGGGACTTTTGTGTGGATTATTGGTGACTAAATTCACTTATCTACAAGGATGATCACTTTCCCCCCTCGATTAGGAAATCTTTGCCATGTCTGAAAAAGCAGAGTGATACCCAAATTTAGACCTGTGAATATTAGCAGGTTGAGGTCCATTGTACCAATAAAATGCTACTTTCAGTTTTCAATTTGAAAGGATGCCCTTTGGAGTATGAAATGCCCCATAGCACCACAAAGATTCAGCATTGCATGACAGGCTGTCCAGTTTTTGACTTCTTATTAATTTACTTGGTTCATGTGATGGCTTGTGCACTCCTGTACATCAGTAGCCGTTTGGAGCTTTTGTCACAGTACCTAAATATTTGCAGTGTCATGGGCAGAAGCTCTAATCAGAATGTTGGCCTATTGTCCATCGGCCAGTGTGGGGTGTCACCTTACGGTGCGTTCAAGTGCAAGCTGCTAAGTTTACATGTTAACTATAACCAAGAAATATATAGAATAATATATAGATATGAAGTGTGGTTCCACTTTTAATAAGTGCTGATGCACTTTACCCATGGAGAAGGTTAGTCAAAATAGCAAGGCCAGGATGTGGAGCTAGGCCAAGTAGCACACTTAAGCCAGTAGGTAAAGATATTGCGTGAAAGCTGTAATTCTACTAGGGTAATAATAGAGTACTGCTTGAATTGGAAAAGGGAAATCTGTGAACACTGCCAAAGTGAGTTAAATTAAGGTAACAAAAAGTAATTTAGTTCTGATTGTTTGAACTTCTTACTTGTTCTTCTTCGTATATTCCAAGATAAAACATCTGCTATATTTGGTCAGTTTTTTCCAGCTTTTGAAGGAAAGTCTTGTACAAATGAAATGTTTTTTGAAAAGATGTTTTCACCAATAACCTTTACAGAACTAGACTCATATTCTTGTTCTGTGGAGTGGAGTGTAGTATTTGATTTTGCTATGTTTTAAACAGTATCTAATAAAGCAGAACCTGCAGTTTGTGTTTTGGACATGACTTGTGCTTTACAAAAATTTACCAATGGCATTCTTACAGCACACAAGCTTGCAGCTTAAAAATGTGTACTGTCTTTTGAGATCTGACATGCAAGACCTGTGAGGCCATGTAGGCGGGATTCACTTCAGCTCTAACTGGGGGTCCTTAAGTTGTAGCAATTACCAATCATATTCTCTCTAGTTTCTCCACTTCCACACCACACTGAGGTTCTCTTT